TGTGAAACCGGGGCTCTGCGTCAGGCCGCGGGGGTCCGGGGCTCCCGGTGCTGGGCGGGATTTTGGGGGGGACAGGGGCGATGCTGGCCAGAGAGGTGTCATCCTTGCTTTTCGCTGCGTTAGAGGCTGCAGAGGTGGGTGTCTGTGACAGTCCGGGGACTTCATTCAGCTGACGTGGCCGCGCCGTCTGCCCGGGTCTCGCACGGTGTCGTAGGTGATTGCCGCAGCTCTTCACCTCGCGCCGGTTTTCCCTGCGAGTTTGCAAAGACCGAACAAACCCGACTTACAAAAACAGTTGTTGCTTTGCACGTTCGCTCCCGTATCTCGATTAAAATGAAATTAAAAATAATTACATCCCTGCTGCTGTGCTGCCGGGCCAGCTGTCAGCGCTTGACCCGCCGTCATCTGGGCTGGGGAGACAGCCCCGAAGCGAAGGCAACGCCATGGGCGGGCGGCCGGGAGCTGCTGGTCTCTGTTTCAGGAGAGAGAAGGAAATTTGCAGTTTTTCCAGAAAGTAGAAAGAAAACAGTGGAGCCTGGTGCTGCTGTGCTATTAAAAGAATTAATAAATAATTGGCGAATTAAGCGGGGAGGGGAAGGGCTCTGCTGGCTCCTGAGCGGCTGTGTTGCGCTGCAATCCCGACTGGATGCGCAGCAGGTCATTTAGATGCTTAATGATAATCTCTGGTTAAAAATAAAAGAAGAGAAAAGGTTTTTAGGAAAGGATTTGGCGGTGTGATGGAGGAGCCGGTGTGGGAACCCGCTGCCTCCAGCACCGCTGCCGTGCCGGTCCCTGTTTTGCCCAAAGACGAGCTCCCGCCTCGGCTTTTCCCGCGGTCCCCTCCCACGAAACATCCCAACCGCTGTAATTACCCTCGACTGCCGGGAGGTCGAAGTCCTAAATTTGCCTGAAATGAATAAAACCAGGTGCTGATCTCCCGCTTGCATTGAAAACGTGCGGTCGCTCTGGAGAGAAGTTATTCCTTCCCACCAAGAAGTGCTCTGGGTTAATCCCACAACTCACCACTCTAGGGTTTTTTTTAATATATATTGTATAAATCCTCCTGAAGCAGAGCGGGGAGTGAGTGTGAATAACTTACAGCAACTTCTCTTTTTTTTTCCTCTTTTTTTCTGCTTTTTTTTCCTTCTGAATAGAAAGGTCTGCTTCATTAGAGATGCTGTCAAGGCAATTAAGCCTAAAAATTGACCTACCTTACAGGTTTAAAAGCCTTAGCATGGGCTTTGGCTTCAGGAATCCCTTGGTATCCTGTCTTTAAAATACTGTTTGTTACAGCAGGGGTTGAAAACAAGGGCATCAGCAGGAGGAGCGGCAGAAAGCCAGTGGCTGGGCTGTGTGCTGTTGTGTTGCCGTTCCCAGCCAGGTACTGGAGCTCAGAGACACTATTTTTCTGACTCCTTTTTTTCCCCGAAAGGCAAAACGGGATCTTTCATTATCAGAATATTTAACAAATTTGCCTGTGTTTCCGAATAACCACCATCAATTTATTTTTTCAGTCAAAACATTTCGTTTCAATATTACTGGAATGAAATAATACGGTTTTGTTTCCCATCTGCCTGCCGTTGTTTGAAAATACCAGTTTATTGAAAGGAAGGCTCGTATCCGAAATGATGCATTTCCCTTTGCTTCACCAACCCAAACAAATTGCCAAACCTGAAACGCAGCATTTTTCTCCTCCTTGATGGGTGGAAACATGGGGAATTGAAAACGGACCTGAAACAAATTCTATTTTTCTTTTTTTTTTTTTTTTTATTGTGTGACTGAAAAATCACTTCTCCCACAGCTTTAGTTTTGCGTCTTTCAGGCAACGCTCAGTAAAACATTTTGGGGATTCTTGTGGGAAGCTGTGAGATGTCTCCTTTGCTCTGCCTCTGCCACCGGCTTTTCCTATATCTGAGTTATATCGCGGACGTGCCACCCTCGC